GATATATATATATATGTCCTCCTTTTTGGTGCTATAGAAATGGCCACCCTATCTTTCAGCCTCATCATAGTTTAATGCATTCCTGAATCATTATTCATTTTTCACCATAAACTGAATTAAACTTCACTGTTTTGATTGCAGTTAACATCTGTGTCAGATGAGAGCAGGGCTTGCCCTCCTTAAATCATACCGGCCCCAACACTTACTCTCGGGCCAAAGCATCTACCTGTGCTGTCTAGATTGTTTTGTTTTATGTTGGTGTTTTTCTAACACTCGGGCTTACATTGTAGGTCCAGTGCGCATAGACTCTAACCAGTTATTCTCGCTACCAGTAAATCTATCACACCGGCTCTACCCTTGGTTCCCATCGTCTCTTTGTTGGAGTTATTCTATTTCATTTCATCTTAACCTTTATTAATCTTGTTTATTCTTTCTGTTATCTTTAGTAGATTCTTGTGAAAGTATTGTTTTTCATGAGTATAACATAAGGTTGCTGTCTGCATGAAAAAATGTATGTGTGTCACTATACAGCACTGCAAGTTCCTCCCCACATATTCCTTTGTGTTCTATTGTAACTATGGACTGCCTTTTTCCAATAAAGAGCGAGAAAGATAGCAGAGGGGGTTCAGAGAGGTGGGAGATTGTAAATGATGCCATGTCTGGCATTCTGCCCCAGGTTTTTTGAGAAGTGTTTGGGTGTTTAAACCTAACATTTTTCCCCTTTCCCTTTTAAATAAATCACATTAAAACTGCTTCTCCTCTATTATTTATTCTCTGCATGTGGGCTAGATCCTTTAAAACCATGAAAACTCTGTAGTGTTTCTTGCTCTTTATGATGTTATGAGTTATTTTGACACTAATATTTCTGAAAACATTGCAAGCTAATATTCTTCCATTTCACAACCATGGAGTACTATTTATTGGTCCATGACAGTACTGTTGAAAATGTTTTAGTTTTTTAGCTTAAATGTGACAAAATATTTAAAGAAGCAAGTGCTAAGAATTATTTACTCCTCTTTTGTCCTAATTTACCTGCATAAGTTTTGTTCCCCACATCGATGAACTCTTGTCAATGACAAACACTACATTCTTTGGTACTCTGGCCAGGCCAGGGGGGGAAAAGAAGTGTACAAAGTATCCATTTACAATCTGAAAGTAAAAAAGGTTATTAATTCAAAAGACTTTAAAATGTGTGCATTATTTGAGTTTGGACCTTACTTTCTTATGTATATAAAGGGGTTAAAGACCCTCTAACCTGAATTTCTCCAAAGCCCTTTACTCGTTTCACATCATACTTAACGATGAAATCTCCGTTAATGAGTTCTTGTGGACACTGAAGACACTGATGCTGCTCTGCTGTTGGAGAAAAAGTGATGTGTGCCTGAGAGAAAAGGAGAATCAAGTCAGTTGGAATTAAAGGAGACATCAATTTGCTGTTAAACTAAAGTTAAGAAACACGTTTAACCTCTAACCTTTGTGGCTGTTGTGGTTTTCTCAATAAGGGGCAGCAGCTCATTGCTGGCGAATGTTGTAGTAGCTTGAACAAAAGCCAGGCCTTGTGGCTCATATATGTCTACAGCAATCTGTCAGGCATACAGGCAAACGTTCACACTGAGAAATAGCGGTAAAACCTTAAAATGTACAAGTTATATAACAAAAGCAACAAGACAACAAGGAAGCGGGTTCAACCTTGAACCTCTCCACAGGTTGTTTCATTTTAATTCGGGTCAAAATTTCGTATTGGCCCATAGTCCGTTTAAGGAGTTCCTCGTAGGTCAGAATGAAAGTCACGTTACTCCCTGCGGCAACGTTAACGGACATGGTAAACTTCTCCATCTTTCTCCCAGAGACCCTGTTGTAATAGAAAACGAATCATCACAAGGGAATATTCAAACTACTACATAATGATCCTTTCCCTTTCCCCAGTTCAGCATACTCGATAAGACCAGCAGACTGGCCTTTGGAAACAGCCTTTTCATATTGTGTTTTGGCTTTTTCTTTCTCTTTTACATTTCCAGCATAGTTTTGACCATCAATTTCCCTGTAAGGCACAATGATATTTATCAGAGGTAAAAACTTTTTAAAGTTGTTGTAATGTTGTTGTCCAAACTTTAAAATGTGACTGACATGACGAAGTTGGCAATGAAGGCAGTTTTTGGCAACTCCACTTCAAAGCTGATTTCCTGGGAGTTGGCTGCTTTGTTCAGAGCCTTGGAAGTTATGATGGTGTGGGCAAAGCGAGATGTTACTGTGCAGGCAACCTCAAAACTGTACACTTCCACCTTTTAAGATCAAAAAGATAATATGGTTATAAAAACAAAACAAATTATCTTAAAAGAGTTTATCCATGTGTTGAAGTTAAATACAGTACAGGACATAGTTAAACATTTTTTAATTTGGTACATTGCCTAGCAAAAATGTTTTCACTCCAATTTCTTTTCATATTTTTCATTTCAAGTTTCTCATGACTTTCTGTTATAGGTCAACATGACAGAGAGCTTAACAATGAATGAAAATTACATATCATTCTCAAAAAGTTTTCATCACTCTGACAATCATAAATGTTATTTTAGACAAAAAAATTCATCCAGATGAGCGATGCGGCTCAACATGGTAAGGTGAGACAAGGCAGGCAAGGCCTTCAATATTCTAGCAACAGGCAAGCACATACAACCAATTATCCTGAGTACAGCAGCAGATAACCAAAATAGCAAGGACTGAGCAGAACAGTGGCAAAGTACACTGCTCAAAAAAATTAAATGAACACTTTGAAAACACATTGGATCTCAATGGGGGGAAAAATCATGCTGTTTATTTATACTGATATGGACTGGGTGATGTGTTGGGAACAAAAGGATGCCACATCATTTGATGGAAATGGAAATGATCAACTTACTGAGGGCTGAATTCAAAGAAACCCCAAAATTTACAGTGAAAAAATTATGCGGCAGGCTTGTCCATTTTGCTGAAATTTCATTGCAGCAACTCAAAATGGTATTCAGTAATTTGCGTGGCCGCCACGTGTGTGTATGCGTGCCTGACAACGTCGGGGGATAGTCCTAATGAGACGATGGATGTATCTCCTCCCAGATCTGGACCAGGGTATCACTGAGCTCCTGGACAGTCTGAGATGCAACCTGGCGGCGTTGGATGAATTGAAACATAATGTCCCAGATGTGTTCCATTGGATTTAGGACAGTCGAGCGTGGGGGCCAATCAGTGGTATCAATTCCTTCATCCTCCAGGAACTGCCTGCATACTCTCGCCACATTAGGCCGGGCATTGTCGTGCACCAGGAGGAACCCAGGACCCACTGCACCAGCATAGGGTCTGACAATGGGTGCAAGGATTTCATCCCAATATCTAATGGCAGTCAGGGTGCCGTTGTCTAGCCTGTATATGTCTGTGCATCCCTCCATGGATATGCCTCCCCAGACCATCACTGACCCACCACCAAACTGGTCATGCTAAATGATGTTACAGGCAGCATAACGTCCTCCACGGCTTCTCCAGACCCTTTCACGTCTGTCACATGTGCTCAGGGTGAACCTGCTCTCATCTGTGAAAAGGACAGAGCGCTAGTGGCAGACTTGCCAATTCCGGTGTTCTGTGGCAAATGCTAATGAGCTCCACGATGCCAGGGAGTGAGCACAGGGCCCACTAGAGAACGATGGACCCTGAGACCACCCTCATGAAGTCTGTTTCTGATTGTTTGGTCAGACACATTCACACCAGTGGTCTACTGGAGGTCATTTTTGAGGGCTCTGGCAGTGCTCCTCCTGCTCTTCCTTGCACAATGGAGCCGATACCGGTCCTGCTGATGGGTTTTAGATCTTCTACAGCCCTGTCCAGCTCTCCTGGAGTAACTGCCTGTCTCCTGGAATCTCCTCTATGCTCTTGAGATTTTGCTGGGAGACACAGCAAACCTTCTGGCAACGGCACGTATTGATTTGCCATGCTGGAGGAGTTGGACTGCCTGTGCAACCTCTGTAGGGTCCAGGTAGTGCCTCATTCTAACAGTAATGACAGTGACCCTAGCCAAATGCAAAACTGGTGAAAAAGAGTCAAAAAAGATGTGGAGGGGAAAATTGTCAGTGGCCTCCACCTGTAAAACCATTCCTGTTCTGATGGTTGTCTCGTTGTTGCTCCTCTAGTGCACCTGTTGTTAATTTTATTAACACCAAAGCAGCTGAAACTGATTAACAACACCCTCTGCTACTTACCTGAACAAATCAATATCCCAGAAGTTTAATAAACTTGATGCTATACTCTGATTACAAAATGCTCCTTTATTTTTTTTGAGTAGTGTACTAAAGAACTGCAAGGTGCCCTGATGCTTTGGTCATTAAGGAATCCTTAATCCCCCACCAATGTCTATTGCCCTTATTAGTTGGCTACGCATTTTGGTTTTTGCAGAAAAAAAGGTAAATTAAAACAGTTCCCAATCAGTTTATCTAAACTTGTATTTTTTTTTAAGATTCTAAAGTAAAGACCTAAGGTAAACTTTGATTTGTTTTTTTAAAGAGAGGAGTTTTTTTTTCTATTAGCTTTACCATTTAAATTCTGCAACTTAATCTATTATCCAGCTGGTAGTTTTCGTTTTCCACTTACAAAAACAAATTCTCACTAGAGAATTATGTACTCTTATTAAAAAAGTTTGTTTTCCTCTTCCCGGAGAAAAAAAACAGTGAAATGATGAATGTTTAAAGAACTTTTGGGCAGGTAAGTAAAAAGGCTGTATTTGAGGAGTCATCATCAGGCCTTCATAAGGCATCGAGTTAATATCTGGATAAGGTGGGGATGGAGCAGGTCCACTGCCCCTGGCCGGGTTCATAGACAGGAGCCAGAGATCCACGTGCAACTCTAAACTAACAGCCAAAGCAGGGAAAAACCAAGCTTGTTGAGTTATTTGGTAAATAAAGACAGCTTAACCTGTCAGGCTGTTTTTACTTTGAAGTTTTTTCTTAATTTAAAGACATCATCAAAAGTAGATTGTCTTATTATTATGTCCAAATAAATATTAAGATCACAAGCATTTTTCTGATGGCATTTCTTGCATGATTAGAGAACCTATAAACAGATTTGGTTTAAATAGCAGGAGGGACTTTTGGTAATGATGAGGGTCGAGCGCTGGTGCTCCAACCAACTGAGCTATGAACCAAAATCATGAGAAGATATTTCTGGACACAAAATAAATCACCAGATAGTGAACAAAGGATAGTTTGTTTTTAGTTTGTCACACTGACAGTTGAAAATGAATAAAAACAGGATGATCAAACCCATCCCTGCTGGATTAATTTCCCAAATAAAAGAATAAGAGGGAGAGTCTTCTCTGTGGACAACAAGATAGAACAAGCACAGCAAGCAGCATTTGAAAGCACTATGGGTATGGCATTTTCTACAATGAAAGCAATATAATCCCTGTGACTCAGAACTTGCCCCACATGTTCTTTTGTTTAAGCTAATTATATAACTTAAAGGTACAGTGTGTAATAATTACAGGGATTTACTCAATGGCGTAAATATCGGTAAGCAGAGACAGCAGTTGCTTACGGGCCCATAACACCTGGTGGGCCCCCTACACAATCGTAGATTAGGACATCTCTTTGTAGATGAAAAATTCCTCTTAAACACCTTATACTGAAGTGACCATCCACATCGGACCATATTTATACCGCAACACATGACAGATTTCAACATAATGGTGAGCTGTTTAAACACAAATAGCAAAGACAGACAGTGGTACTTTTGATTACTATGTTAATAACTATGTTTAGTTCATTAGACGGTTGGTTAAAAAATACACTCATATAATGTTTCAAACCACAATAAAGATCTTAAAAGAACGATGTATTTCAGTATTCATTTTTTACACTACATCTTGGAATTATGGGTAACCCCAGGGGCGTGCATACATAGACACTAGGTGGTGCTAAAGCACTAGGAAGTTTGCCCTTTATCAAAGAAAATGCCCTTTTGAAAGTCGTTTTTTTTAATTATTATTATTATTAATATTATTAAGATTTTATTGTGGTCGGTTTTGAAATGATCTTTTGAAAACCTGAGCCATTAAAAACAACTGAAACAATGCCCCGAAATGAACCACTTCCTTGCGCACACCCGACCAGCCTATCTCTCTTCCTTTGTCACGTGAACTCGCTCGGTCGCCCGCAGGGCA